TTGACTTTTATTCATGGAGGCATATTAAATCAATTGTGTATTCTGAAGAAATCACAAGTTGCGAGCAATTAAAAGAAAAGATTATTATAGCCTTTCATACATTAAAAGAATCGAATACGTTAGAAAACGTTCATAGAAATTTAATTAGAAGAGCAGAAGTATGTATTCGGCAGAATGAAGAACATTTTCAGCAATTTCTGTAATAATATACTTTATGGTTACTTGAACATTCTATTTTATTACGTGTTTGTAATTTTCCGTTACTATGAAACCCAACTTAAATTGTGATAATCACCATAGAAACAATGATCTACAATGGAATTCGTTATAACGAGACATGATCAAGTGTATCCGTAACCGACGAAAATTCAAAGTCGATTTTCTCGAAAACAAAGCCTCGCATGAAACAATTTTACTTTATATTTTCCGCTTATTTTTTCGTGTATAATTACCCCCTTTTTACTTGTACCACCAGTTATCAAACATCCTGTATAATACTATATCATATTTCATTGTATTATTTCTAAGTTCTTCCTTTTTAATATGACTAAAAACCAAGAGTCAGAACGTATTTCTCAGGTTCATAAAATTAATATTCATTATGTTCTTTGCGTTGAAGATGTTGACCTTAAACAGAGGTAGTAGCAGGTTTAGTCGAAACGTTGGAAAAAAAAATGTAGACATTCTTATAACCAAAGAAATTATTTCTAATATATTTCAAAAATTTCATGTAGTTTTTACATATTATAAAAGCCTTACAGATTAACCAATATCGGATGTACGATTTTCAGTATAAAAAATGAAAGTTACGATAGTTAACACTTTATTTCAGTAGTAGACATATGGGGAAAGTGTCTTGAAAGTAGGCGACATTGCATGTTTCATAGAACGTTCTCCTTAATTCTGAGAATAAAATGTTAAATGATAACAGGTGTGACTGGATATCCTGACTCAAAAGTAGTATTATTAAACCCTAAAAACGTAAATGTTTAAAAGAGGAGGAGACCGGTAGTCCAAGATAAATGAACTCGTGTTAGTTCGTGTTATTTATATCTACTTTTAATTAGTACACGTACACAAATACTTCTATTAGGTTGTCCTAAAAGTTTCTTCCATTTCAGTAATAAGTAATACATACATAATATTTTTTGTCTAATGTTACATTATTGCATTTCCTACGATTCATTTTGCTTCACTACTGTTACAATATTAGCATCGAAGAAATTAGGTTGTCTATTTATATGAACAGTGACATACAAAATAACTGAATGCAAGTCACGGAAGAAAGTTTTAGGACAACCTAATAGATGTACTCACATAATTATTGTCTACTAGGAAGGACCTTCTGTGTAGATATATAGCTATAAAAATTCAAGTATAAAATTTTGAACAAAATTCAAAGCTGCTTTATAGTGATCGTTTCGATCTGTGAAATTTATCTTTACTACGCGCATTGGAGTCAGTATTTTCGAAGCGGGTAATTTCCTATTGAAAATTTATGAAGATCCGGTTTGTCGATCAGGATTCGAGTCACATTGAAGATGCATACGTGTGGTGTCCTTTGTTTTCTTCAGCTCTTCGTCGTTATTTCACCACCGCTTACAATCTCCGAAGTTTCATAAATATTAACACCACAGACTCGTTTTTCTTTTTTTTTTTTTAATATTATTTTTATATACTCGTCACTCTAAGCTTAACGTTTTTCATGTATGTAAACGACTCTAGAATGTGTTGTTGTTGATATAAATAATTATGAGATTAATGACACTAAAAGTTTTGATTGATATTTTCGTGAAAATGTTGAATTTTGATTCATTATTTTTGAGGTCTTGTATTTTGTATTAAAAGATATTTCTTTCAAACTATAATTCCATAATCTTCGATCTTATGGGCATTTGAAAGTCATGTTGCTAAAGCTCGTTGGTTTCTTCTCACTGCTTGATAAATGATACGTGTAAAAATCCAGATCACTGCTCACCAGTCTCACACATATGTATTTATTTCAAGGTTACATTTCGACGCCTATGTTCATTATCTTTTCATAAATACCTCTCTGCATTTATAATTTTCTCTGCAACTCGTAATTTAATTTATATTAAAGATTATCTTTAGAATATCTTAAAATGATTCTTAAAATTATCTTTTATGCACACAAACTAGCAATTATAATTTCAATTTTAACAGTACTACCTATTGTAGCACAGAAGATGGCAAATACATCCTTACGAGACTGGCGAACGTCTTACTTTTATTTTATATTCGCAAACGTTGATACTGATATTTTTTCATATTTACATCAAAGCAGCAGAAATACAAGTTCTATATTTTTCTCAGTCTCGTCGATGGTTTTCGGACCACGAAGAATGTGGCTCGAGAATGTCATAACATGGGCGCGTCCTTCGCCAGGACCTTCGCAAATATTTGTTCAGAGTCGATTTTATCCTGTTGCAACACGTTCGTTAACCCTTGACAGTCGCGGACGACCTTTACGAATCGGAGTTCCCGTCGATTTCGAACTGATTCACATCCGGCCAGAAACCAGATATAAACTCTGAAGGAAACAAAAACGAGGAAGGTCGGGACAGTTAGGGAAAGTACTACCATGACGCAATGAAGTTGACGACAATGCTCTAATAACGTCTAGATTATTACCGTAAGGAGAACATTAGCTGGAATTAGCGAAGCTGAGTTGCTTAATACGTACAGGTCACTTAGATCGTAACCATCTCAATTCCTTTGTTATTCTTGAATATAGACACCATTTAGTGATGAATAAATAAAAGAAGCGGCTAATGAAAAGTGTAAACAATACATTGATAGATGACATTTTGTTTGGTGTGTACTGTAAACAATTTTAAAAATCAGCTAACACTGATAAAATTTGAAAGAAGACGAGCTAATTTAACAATTTGGTAAATTTTTACAGAAGTAATTTTTATTTGGTTTCTTGGATATTAAGCAGAATTATTAAAGATTTAGGTACTGCAAATCCAATCGGTGTGAGTAGCGGAAACGAAATGTATTAGAAACTAAAATTGATATATAGCACATGATGCTAGTTTGCTGCTGCATGTTATTAATAGATTAAGAATGAATTAATTTATAACGTATACTGTTTCAAAAAAATTACAAGCTGCCTTTTTTTTTTTAAATCTGTAGCGATACGAGTCTATAATTAAATTCTATTATTTCATAATCCATAGATGAGTACATTATGAAATGAAATATGGTGTGACGTTATTATTTACATAATTTTTGAGATAATTAGTTTCAAATTCAATTAATAATTTAATTTTCACGAATAGTCTATTTTTTCTCTTGTTTATATCCAGCTTTAGAGTTAGTTAAATTAGTTTGTATTTCTAATTTGTTTTAAATTATATTCGTATATTGTTATCCGAGGAATGTCGTTCAACTCCTACTTATATAAAATTCTGAGATTCGGTTACAAACTAGCCATCGCGTCAAGTTGCCAATTTGTATTCCTATCAAGTTAGCAGGAAGTGCAACGTGCCGGTCCCGATTATAACGGTAACGACAAAGATATACAATATAGATTCATGTACCTACGGTATTTTGTTTCGTGACAACGATACGAACTTGCGGAATAATGTTTCCACATCTGGAGGTATCTTTGCCACCTACACAGGTGTAACCTGAAGTCAATTACGCAACCTTTGGTAACATCAGCTTCAAGCAATAAAAAATTTATCGTGTATTTTATACATTTGTAATACTTTTATTACATTATTCACCTACTTAATAAAATTTGAGGGTATTTTTCCAGGTACTTAACGCTGAAAGTATCAATTTTAAAGCATAAAAGCCAAGAATTTTATTTCTTCCAAATCCTCAATATAAATTTATTGAATAAATTAGTATTTTATCTGGTCGTGATGCATAATGAATAATATTTATTGTTATACGAATAATACAATTTATGTGGTACCTGTAAAGTGAGATACGATGCGATGTGATATTGCTTTCACACTTGCAGGCGTTGAAATCTCCGCTTCTCCTAGCATTGAAATCACCGCGCGACTCGACTGGCGTTAAAGTTCCTGATAGAGTTCGCGGTAACCGGAAGTATACGTAGTAGATATATGTCTAATGATATACGCGATAAAATTGTACAACTGCAATAAAGTATCGTGTTTGCCTTTGTTTTAAACAGAGTCATGGAGTTTTCATTTAGAATAGAATTCATTATTTTTTAAGGTTAGGACTTACATCGTAACACTACACGATAGTATTAGCCGAAAGTTTATCGCTGAAGAAAAATAATCGCATGCTGATTAAACAAACACTTTGACATCGTTTACGTGAAATAAAATATACAATTATTGGGATAATTCTGCAATCTTCAGTTGTTTTATTATGAGATCATATTAACATGGATACAGTCAGTGTAAGAAGTATTCTTACATCAACCCATTTAAAATAAATGGTTTCTGTACGAGTATTTATTTCACTGATTGTATATATTCTTCATTGCTTACGCTTACGCGAAAGACATTTCAGCAATGATATATTAGAAAATATTAGAAATAAAATGTACATAACTATAGATTACTGGGAACTATATGTGAATATGATTCGTCGCATTTTTTAACAATAATTTATTCGATAAAATATATTTTTCTATCGTATATTGTTTGCATCAGATTGAAAATTTTATACCGTAAAAATGCCACATACGTACATTTTAAATAATGCTACTGCGGATAATATATTGATTTATGTACAATGATTTATATCGATCGATTTCATTATGTCACTTGTAGAACTGATAACATTTCAGATGAGAATATTTTGTAGGATACTTACGGTTCGTCATCCAACAGAGCTGTGCGAAGAAAGTAATTTGAAAATTGAAAACATGATTTCTGAATAGTACTCCGTAAAAATATGGTGCGTGATTGTCGTACATTATACTTATTTAATTGTTCTCTTTTTTTTTTAGGTATAAGGATTAACTTTTCGAAATATTAAATTTAAAATCAGTTTACAGAAATTCATTGCACATGCTTCTAAACTATTTGAAAGTACAAGAAACACTCGTCGTCACAATTCCCGTGTAATTTTCATACAAAATATTCGTAATTGGGATGCTTATTTAACAAACCTGGATAAAATATGTATAAAATTCGCACTCTATGATAGCATTATATAATGTCAATAACTCTTTTGTAACTACTAACTATTTAAAGTAATCTAACAAATAATGATATATGCTTACACTATGGCATCTTTACAGTATGACACACATTTTTAGCTGTGTGGAATTGGCGTTATTTTATTGAGTCCTATAATTACAGGCGATAATCATCTCGTGTGTAAAGTACTTCAATTCAACTACAGCTATAAATTCAATCACTGATTTGTTATTGGACACCATATGTATACCATGTTTTGATGTGGGTCCCCTTAACTAGAACAAAAAGATTTTTCATGAATTCATACACGTATTAATATTTTTTGTCTGTTCTTTAGAAACAATAATTACTTTGTAGTTGGTCTCCTTGACGGCTCTGAGGCCGTAGGCGGTGGAGGCGGACCTCTACGAGCCAATTCCTCCAAATATCCCATTAACAAACGAGTTCGTTCAGCGGCTGCTGCTTCTAATACAAGGAATCTTCGATCCTTCCTTAAAATTTCCTCAATTTCCGCTAAATGTGTACTGTTTTCTTGTACTTTTTTGTATGTTTTGTCCGTAATAAGTTTTGTTTCCTGAAATTAATATTTATGTATACATGCTACCAGAAATACAGAGAATCAGAATATATTTTGAACGTACCTGTAGGAGTTCTCTAAAGTCAGCTTTAGCCGCAACAAGTTTATCCTTAATATATTCTTTAAATTCTTTCTCGCATTTCTGTGAAAAAGTAAATATAGTATAATGAAAAAAAAAAAAACTATATTTTACAGTTATACATTTTTAAATACATTACACACCCGATCGCTTGAAGAGAATTTAAGATATCTAGGATCGTCCTTTAACGATTTTTTGATATCTCTCCAGGATGCAGTAAGTTCAGTAGAAGCTCCTACTTCATCGAGAAGCTCTCTGAATTTATCACGTTTCTTGCGACTAAGCTGTTCTATGTGCTCATTAAATAATCTCTCCTTTTCCTCGCGATCTAAGCTCTCCGCTAGTTCCCATCTGTGATCCTTCCGCAATTGTCGTTTTGCTTCTCGCCATGCTAGGTCACCGTTCCTTACCTGCATACGCGTGTTATGTTAATCAAGTGCGCTAAATATATTCAAGATGTTAATGAGTCGTATAAATATGATACATACTAAATCAGCGAGAAGAGCACTGAAATGCTGCACTGCTTCTGTGTGACGATGATGCTGCCTTTCTTTATCTCTATCGCGAAGATGGGTAGCGAGTGTTCTTTGAACTTCTCTTTCTCTCTCGCGGAGACTTGCTTCCGCTCTTCGTTCACGCTCACGTTTTTGTTTCTCACGGTCTTCCTCTGAATCGGATTGCTCCTCTGCGTCCTCCTTCTAAATGAAGAAATGTAATATATATTACTAATGCGATTTTTATTACATAAAATCTATTATAATAATATAATTCATCATTTTTAGGTGATCATAATTCGATTAAGTTACGTTAAGCAAACATTGAATAACGCTTACGTCATTTTCTTTCTTTGTCGGTTTTTCATCATTGTCTTCGATTTCTCCACTTTCCTTTTCCACTACTGCTTCTTTCTTTTCTTTGCCATTTTCTTCCGCTGGTGCTTCGCTTCGTCGTTGTTTTTTGTCCTTTGAACTGTCCTTGTCAACTCGGTCCTTTGATGATTTTTCCTTGTACTTATCCACATCCTTTCTGTCCCTATCCTTCTTCTCTGATTTATGATGATCTTTGTCCCTGTGCCGGTGGTCTTTGTCTTTTTCCTTTTCCTTTTTCCGCTCCTCCTTTAGCATACGAACGTAATCCCTAAACCAATCTTCTCGCGTGCTTGCCGACTCTACCACTCTGTACCTCCAATCTGATTCCAATTTTTTCTTACAATCGCTCCAATGCGAATGTCTGTCGATGTCTTTGTGCTCACGTAGCATCACTATGAATTCCTTTTTCACCTGAAACGCATTTACCGTAAGAGTTTTCATTGTTGAAAGGCAATCAGTTTTTGCTTATAGTCTATTTGTACAGTTCTGTCTTAAAATTGAAATTTTATATGTATATATAGATTTTTTTATTTGTCTCAGTTTTATCATGCACGCTTAATATTTCCATCCAATGATTACACGGTCAGCCACATTACAATCACTTTGACAATATTATTAAAAAATTAATGACTTGTAATGTGGGTCAAACTATTTCAACTTGCAAACCTTTTTATTGGTTTTCAAACTACATTTCGTTAGGGGTAGAAGAAATAGTCATTCGTGTCATTCGTTCGTGTCAGAAGGTATCGCAACATTAAGGGCTCTACTTGTTGGAATTTTTAATGAAATAAGCTGGTCGGTTTCGCTGAAAAAAAGTATACTCATTATAGCTGTAAAAATACTTAATTTTTACCGAGTCATCATTAAATGTTTAGCATATTGATATACTAGAATTGATGCATAGTAGATGATATAAGACGTAGAAAAACGGATATGCTGTTATTTAATGATAAGACGGGATATAAAATGAATAAATTTTTATCTGCTGCCCTTGCTGAAAAGAAAACAGTCGTTAGTATATTGTCACGAGATTTTGAAAATATTAAAAGCTTTCAGCCGTTCAAATTACGAAACGAGGTTTTACTTCTCTTTACCATCTTTCGTGCAGTACCATTTCGATCTGTATTTTTATTATTACTATTAAGCATTCAATGATGAGAATGTGTAATACAGATATGATATGTACAATAAAATTCTTAACAAAGAAGAATGGAAGAATCTTAAAATTAAACTTCAGTGCATTCTTTGAAACTTTCTATTAATAACATTCTAGAATTCTTTAATGAACTACTAGATTAACTGTAGAATAGATTTCATATTACGATTATAAATGTTTTCCAACATTTTAATACTGCGTGGTAACATATTATATGTTTCTGGTTCCTTGATTTTATATTCTCGAAATAGCAAATAATAGCAGTATTTCTTATCTTCAAATTCCCATTACGTAATTTGTGAACGACCTAAATTTTAATATAATTATAACAACTTGTTATCGTATATAAATATACTTAATACATGTTTATTTCGCAATGAAAAGATGATTAGAGTTTAAAGTTGCTGGCACATTTTGGTCTTGAATTTGTCATTACAGTTATTACTCGGATCCTGATCCTACATAGCTTTGACGTAGTAAGAAATTTGTGCCACAATCGTTTAACTTCCATCTAAACACAATTATTGCAAAGTCCACTTCTAGTTTTCTTAAGACAAAAGCAGTCAAGGTTCTCCAAAGGATACAAACCAAATTTCATAAAAGCGCACTCATTCTATTGTTTCAGTATACTCATCTTGTTGCTTCAAATATAGTTTCTTTCTTTTTGCTAAAATCGTCTTTAGAAATCGATTGTATTAAATTTTATATTAAGTAAAAATATTTAAAATTTTCACAATAATACAAAAAACAAAAGAAACAAATTAGGAAAAATTTATGTTATTACACCAATTGAAATGTATTTCATCAATTTTAGATATGAATTGCAATTTTAAATTTATATTTAAATTTTAGTACACCATGTATTGACATAAGAACAACTATAAAAGATAAAGTAATCTTTGATTGTAAAAAAATTTAGCACTATTTAAACTTTTCCCTGTCGGGAACTGTAAAATGATTCGTGAAAATAAAATCATTGTACGTGGGAAACTGAAATTATGTTTATATAAAATAATACGCGTGAAAAGAATAAGTTTGTTCTTATGTTGATACATTGATCATTACATGAATTGGTAGCTTATTTTTGTTTAGCGCAGATAACGGTTCTTTATCTCCAGGAAACCGAATAAGATTCGTAACTATGTTTGGAATTGACGCTACCATTGGGGTCGACACCCCGTTCACTGATAATGATTTATATTCAATTCCTTTGAAATTGGTTTTGATTTTGGGGAAAAGTTAATCTTTTGAAGTAACGAGGATTACGAGTAATATACAAATACCGAGTTCGTTCATTCTCATGACTCTGCTTTGGAGTAAAGAATGCGGCGCGCGAGGGTGTGCCAACTGTGCCACGCAGTGTAGGTGGGGATGGTAGATGACATCATCCATGCCACCAACCAGCTTCAGAACCAAGCCACTCCACATACGGAACCTGTCCTGCCTGCCTCCTGACTGAAGTGGAGAGTTCAGAACACATAAGTACATAAGGAACCGTCACATACTAAAATTTTATTCTCTACATCTCCCATCTTAGAGCTACAAAACTTTTGTCTATCGAGAAAATCTACTGGAGTAGAGAATTATTAGAGAAACTTCTCCTGGTATGTGTTCTTCAGCCATTAATTTAGGAATTCATATTAGATAATCTTACAAGTGGAACAAAATAGTAACATACCTATAGAACCTGAAAGAATGATTAATTATCGCTGAAAATATAAATTCATTAAACATTATCCTATCTTATTTAAGATTAGAACATTATTTGTTCACTTATTATTCATTTTCTTATATCATCGCACATTATTAAATATCACTCAACAGTAGCATATAATTATCTTTCTCGAAGAGTTAAACAATATAAATTTTGTTTATACATAAGTGGGTGCTGAACAAAGGCTTATTCAGCTTCTATCGAACTTATCGCGAATGTAGTATATGCTATGTCTATATTCTCAGTAATGTACTATATTATTTCTTCGAATGAAATGGAGGATGCATGAGACGTGAGAACCTAATGAGTTTGGTATGGAAAAAGGGAAAGGCTTGATGGTTGTACTCGAAAAGAAATTTTGTTTTATGATACTTTGATAGACCTAGAGAATTGAGGTACCAAACAATACTAGGGATATAGTTTGCAATTAAGTGAAATAGAGAAAAAAGAAACGAAGAACATCGAGTTCGATGCGAAAAGGTACGCATTCCAAATGCTTTGCATCCTTAATACTAAAATTGCAATATGAATCTATAATTTATGAATTTTTAAATAAATTAATAAAAGGGTACCTTAATTCTCAAGTACTTCTAAAAATTTGGTATGCTCTTTATCACGTTAATAAGGTAACATATCTTTAGGATATTTTTTCTTACTTATGGTATCGAATGTCTAAAGTATTCATAAATCTTTCAATTCTTATACTGTAGCACGAATCCTGAAAAGTAAGGTTTGCATAGCAACAAATCAAGAATGTTAATAAAATAAAAATACCTGTTCTCGTTTTGCTGTTTTTTCCTCTTTTTCCTTTTTTCGCACTTCCAGTAGATATTCGTTGAAAAGGCTCTCCCGTTCACGCATCTTTTCTACATTCTTAAATCGTTCATCGCGCCCATGCTTTTGAGCAAAATCACTAAATGAGGACCTGGACACAAAATATTCATTCGTGGTAAAGTAAATCAAATAGTAAAGATATTATCAAAATTCAAAGAAAGTAAACTGAATTTCTACATACTTTCCATGAAGACCAGCTTCCTCTAACAATTTCTGAAATTGTTCCTTCCGTTCCTTCATTTTATTTCTTTTTTCCCGCCTTTCTTCTTCAGCCCTCTCCTTCACATATTTCTCGAACACTTGTTTCCTCTCCTTTGACGTCAAAAGTAGATAACGAGGATCGAACACTATTTTATGAAGTTCCTTCTCCCAAGTACTGAACGCTGACACCTATAAACATCGTAAACGAATATAAGTTTGCGCTAAGTTGATTATTTGGCTATATTTTAAACAAAAAGAATTACATCTTTCTCTGCAAGCATGTCCCTAAATGATTTAATCCGTGTTTCCAGGGGAACAATGGCTCTCTCTCGAGCGGCTCGTACTTCTGCTTCTATTGCAGCTTCTTTACCGATATCAATAGTTTTTTTATTTTCTTTCTCTTCTTCTTCTTTCGGCATGACAGCTGAAATGGAAAGATTGTTTGTTTCACTGCCTCTTCGTTTCGAGTGAGATTTATTTTCTTTTGAAAATATTATAACATAGCGTATAAATATTATAGATATAATATTTACTCTTAGTTTCTTCCTGTTTCATTTTTTTCGCCGGTGTCGGTTGATCATCGTCACTGCTTTCGCTTGTATCTGACTGACGTGCGGGTTTAGGAGTTGCCACTGCATCCGGCGGATTAGAAACCATTTTATCAACATCTTGACGACCAATAAGATCATCTGGCCTTTCCCAGACCGAAATACGTGAGGAAGGATTATAGAAAAATACACGTCCATCGCCAGTCCAAACAACACACCTAATTAATAAATAACGTAAATGAATTTGATTAGCTATTAAAGAATGATATCAACGTAAACAGTCCTAAAAATAGGTTTTCTTACCATGGGGTTCCAGGCACCGGTGTGCTAGAGATTGGTCTAGATTTATCCTGAGGTTTAGCAGCTTCTTTAGGCGCTGTTTCTTCTTTTTTCGGTTTGTTATTCTCTGTTTCCTTTATGCTATCTTTGGTTTCATGATTGCTTTCTTGCTGTTTTTCTTGTTTCGCAGGTTCAGCGATAACATTGTTGTTAGTAACGGTAGTATTAGTCACAGTAGTGTTTGACGTACTACTGATAGCTGCTTCTTCTGCCTTTTGCCGTAACGCTAATTTTGCACCTAGCAATAGACATCCTATTATAGCAAATATTGCTACATTAAATATGTTGTTTGGAAATTTATAGTGTAAATAACGTACTGTCTAGATCTTTCAAAGCCTGCGGTTTCTCCCAAACAGATTCTCCAGCTTTACTGTTATAATAATATAACCTGCCATCTGGAGCACGATGTTCTGTCCATACCATAGCAGATGCTACTAATTCTTGATCAAGTTGTGCTAATATGGCAGGGTCCTCTGCTGGGGCTTGTGGGGTCATTACTCCGTGTGGCATTTGTGGCATACCTAACAAATATTATTTAAAAAAATAATGTATTTAGATGAGTAATTATGCAATCATAATTTATATTACCCCAATTTGCTTGTGGTGGGCCATAACCTCCAAAAGGTTGAAAACCTGGTGGCGGCATACCAAATGGTGTTGCTCCAAACTGTGTTGCAATTGGACCACCAAATTGATTTGGCATTCTATGTTGCATAGGTATCATATTAGGAGGAGGTTGCATCATATTTGTATTTACTGTTGGTGTATTCATAGCTGGAGTGGTAGCAACAGTTGCAGGTGCTGTACCTAAATATTAACGATGATATAAAAATTCTCTCGTATTATACTGTAAGTGTATAAATTTTAATTTCTTAAATCATAATTAAAATGATTATTTTCTACCATTCGCTTGAGCCGCGTCGGATGGCTGTGGAGTAACATCTGGTGTCTCGCCAAGTGTAGGAGGTGGACCTGTACCAGGAGGAGCAGTACTAAGTTGATTCATAGTATCTGCATTATTTGGAGGGGGTTGTTCACTACTTTGAGGAACTCTATTCTCGTTAATTTGAGTTGGAGTAGGAGCTGTGGAGGTAGGGATATTGGATGGGGCTGCTTGTTTAGATGCTCCATGTACCAATTGTTCTAACTGTAACAATATTGAAACCATTTGTAGAAACCATAATAACAATTTACTATACAAAATGTTTTAACCGTTTGGATTCTGGAGGTCATTGAAAAAACATTGTCGACAAATGCCGCTATTGCGGCAATAGCGCTTGTATGTACCGTGTAAGAAGTGAGTTAACGGGCGCGATAGAAATCGTTTTATTTATATTTATTCGCGTTAAACAATGGGATCGCGCTCCTTTTCACATCGATAAACGTAATGCAGTTGGTAAAGTGATCAGATGACATCGGCAAAATCCAAATAATACCGTCAGTCGTCCATCGTACTAAAGTGTAGTGGATCTTCTGGACATAAAATTTGAACAGCGCGATCGCGTTGCGTAGGATCCAAACGGTAACTGATAAATCATGAAACAATTCCAGACCTGATCTTGTACCATGACTTTCACATTTGGACCTTCTGGTTTTGTCCATGTAGTTTCTCTTGTACGAATGTTATAATAATATGATTTGCCATCCGGTGTTTTTGTTTCCACCCATACTTCTCCATTGAGATCTAAGCCTGGAATGTTTGCTTGTTGTTGCGCCTGTTGCTGTGGAGGTTGTTGTTGACCTGGAATCTGTAACAAGATTCCTCGTTTTGCGACACTGTACATATAAACTTGATTAACTTTCTGTAAATCGAAATTTACGTTATTCATATTTGGTGGTCCCATTCCAGGAGGTGGTCCGTATGGTCCCGGACCTGTCCCAATTGGGCCATTCATCATGTGTGGCGGTGGCTAATTGCATATAAAGTTAAATAATACTTAATCAACTTATTGGAAAAAAGTTGACAAAACCATTTTCCATTGAAATAATTACCATTCCTGGAGGTCCCATTAGATTTGGTGGTCCCATCAAATTTGGTGGCCCCATAGGTCCCCAGCTAGGATCAAATGGCGGAGGTCCTCTGAAGCGTGGTCCAGCTGGCCCTGGTGGACAATTTGGCCTTGGCGGTCCCTCAAATGGATATCCATTGTTAGCTCCACGAAACATCGGTCCTCTAGGTCCAAATCCTCTTCCTCTAAACCTTGGAGGCCCACCTCTCATGGGGAAATCAAACCCACCTCTGCCATGACCCCTTAAATTATTGTTATGTGTTGTGACTATGTACTTTACGTACCATACGTCCGTATCATTTACCCAAGAGTAGACATCATCTTTATAGTGACTCCAATTTTACATTTAAAATGAATACATATACGTGTGAATGAACAGTTCCATTTTATGCAACTGGATCATTAGGTTTGATAAACAGCATAAATATATTCAAAGGCAGTCACCTTTTTCCATGTAATACTCCAAAGTGCAGAAAATTTACATTAACAAACAAACATCTTATTAAAACAATTATGGGCAAATCATATCATCGTATAGGAGCGTAAATAGAAACAATAGTCGCGTTCTTATAGTATTTAATAGGATATCAGGAATTGGTGGCGATGCAAAGTTTGATAGTTTCGTCGGGCATATTAGGTCAGGCAGCGATTGCAAGGGGGCAACTTAACCTTACTTTTTCGTTTCTTATTTTGAACAACGCGTAGCAATGATGGATCTATGGGGTGTTGAGAAAAACTGTAACGCACCTAAATCCACCTCGTCCCCGAGGTACAAAATGCCTATAATCTTCTCCATCGAAACCGTAATCTTCTGTTTCTTCCATACCCTCCTCATTGTGCTCCTGTTCATTATTCGAAGGAATTTCCGAAACCGCAGGAGCTTGCTCGGTACTCACGTCCATTTCAAGATAATACAGAAATTAAATATTTCTTTTCTACACGCCCTTTTGCCTCTTTTCTCAGGCTTGCACAAAAACGCCGCAAACAAATCACTATTTTATTCAATGTAAGCCGTAAACATATTATTGCCAACAGAAAAGTCGAATTTCCCTAAATTCGGTGACAATGAGGCAAACCTAACGGCTAGGAATATGGTGCCACGTTATCTGTCAGTGATTCTCAGTTATTAGTTTAGAAATTGTTTCTAGTGAACTTGAGATGCTTGTTTTTCAACTAAACACAAATTTCGAATAACAAATAATAGATAAACAATTGTTTGTCTATCTTTTTTTGGATAATTAATCAAATTTATGTTGTAGAATTATGTATGCATAATGAAGGAATACAAGTGTAATTGTTTACTAGAGTAAGTATTGGAAATAATTAGTTGTACATTGATCTTGTTTGGCATCTGTTATTGGAATAAAATTTTATCCATCTCCATTGCTAAAACATTTGCCTACTGTTGCAATATTTCGTTTGGCCTAAGTTCATAGCTTGTTGCCTGTTGTTCGCGATACATATTTTTTTATTGTTCAAGTTTTACTGATATTTACATTTCAGCATTGAAATCGAATTTTTGCTGAAACATTGTACTGCGATAACATTTATTTGTGCATTAAATTTGCAATACTTTTGAAATTGAACACTTTCGTTGCTTTCAAGCGATTTTTCTTATATGATTTATCATATGAATAGCTTGTTTTTGAAGCATGTAAGGTAGACCATGAATTATTTATCTTATGAGTTTTAGAAGCTACTCTATTTGTTGTAACAATGAAAGCAGGACAAATCTCAATACCGACTGAGTGAGTAACTTTTCTCATACTTGGTTTCAATTTTCACCGACGATAGCGCTGACATTGTACTCTGTGAAGTGATACGGAAATGGTAAAGAGGGTTTGTAAGACCTCCATTTTATAAGAATTATTCCTAATAGAATACAATTTCATAAAGTTGTAGAAAATGAGTATTTTAATTTTCACAAAAGATTATCTGGGTCGGACAATTAAATAGTAAACAATAAAATTACTTTTTTAATATCAGTATAATAGTAATTCTTTGTCCATTTTTATAATATTCAAGCCAGGAGAATTTACTTGGTCAATATTACTAGTATCACGATTTTAAAGTACCTTTTTATTGTTTTGTTAGAAATTAATTTCTTCCGAAGTCGTTATCTAAAATAAATAAAAATGTTCCAGAATAATTAGGTTTAAGAGTATAACAGCCCACGAAGCGGAGATGAACAAAATTCGATTCTAATAATTGATAACAAATAAGAACAGCATATGTATTCGTTTATTTCACTGAACAGTTATCCATATTGTGAAATATTGCAGTCTACGATTCAAATATTTATTTTTATTTTTATTTTTATTTTCACTTTTATTTGACAAGTAATTGGTAAATGGTATATTCGAAATTTTCGTGAAGAAAAGAATGTTGTCTATCTTTGTAGCTTAGTCGTTTGCTCAACCGGAGAATCCCCACTATTCAGAGTTTAATTATTTGCCAAGATAGAAAGAGTTGATTTGAAAATGATGCGAATTATTTTGCAAGCACAAGACTCATTGGTTCATCTGCTGTTCGATAGATCAATGCTCGCACATGATTGGTTTGCTGGCGCACCTGTACACGTATTAACTCTACCTCGGATCACAAAGCGTCGCTGCACGAACACCTAAGACTGTTTGTACAGCCGATATCTATAGCGATGTGTCACTTACTCGTCAAAGGCTCACGATAATAGTTTCGATAATGCTTCTGGAATTAAATTTGGCCAGCGTTTCCCTGAACGTCATCCCCCAAAAGGAAATTCTATTTGTCTCTAGATCGTAAAATCGTCTTTACGTTTTGGTTTAAGTACAAATCAAGGACTGAACATCGTAATGATGTAAGTAAAATAGGATACAAAAAAAATGGAGCACATGGATTCTTTGTCGAGGTATGAAATCATATCATATCTTCTTTGTTTTGAGACCTCAGGGGCTGTAGCTATATTTAGTTGTAGCTAGAGTACGGGTTTAGCGATCCCAAGGTACCCGAGCTATAGAGGGGGTCAGTGAGTCCCAACGAACTATTGGCATCCCTAATGAGGATTGATTGATATTAATTTATTAGCCTTCTCAGCTGTGTACAATATACAATTGCATCTGAGCTACATTGTTAAAATGTATCCCTTTAACATTCGTTTAAATGTTTCAATTCTTTCGCGTCTCTTCATATTTGCTGGTAAAGCATTAAACAATTTTACTTTTTCGTAAAACATACTCTTTTGGACATGTCTTGTTCTACGAAATCTTATTGCAATGTCTTTGGTCTGAGCCAGAGAATTATGAAGAGAGGTATGTAAAGGAAGGATTAAATAAATTTGAAGAATGAATAAATGCATACTTATGAATTTTTTTCGGAGTCTACAATATAAAGAGCGATTCTAATGTTTTTTATATTAATAATACTATTCGAAAATATTTTTGTATGAGCACTATAAAATTTATTTATTAAATAGTATATTATATTGCGTGAAGCAGTAGAGATCATAAAGTGAAAAAATAACGAAAATGGCCATCTTTTAAATTCAAGTACCCAAATATTCACTTGTTATGACCCTTTAGACTTAAGTTTATAATATCGAAGTATTCATTTTTTGCAAAAATATCTTAGATTGTACAATATAGGCTTAAGGTGAAAAAGTGTTGCAAGTAATACCTACTTCACGGTATCTAGTTTCGCGGTCGGCTACGATCGTTTAGCTTCGCGTTGTATTGAGTCGTCATCTTTGAGTACCAACCCTCATCCACGTTTGAAAGATTATTGTTGGACGTCGAACAACGCCTCGCGTGTCTACGATTCACCGTGACCGTGTTAAGTCTCGTTCGATGTACGCGTATATTAAATTTCCACTCGCCAACGTAAGCGTTCGCCCTTCGCGATGCATTTCTATTTAAGGCCGGATTACAATGGCGAGCGTTCGTTGGGGTACAATTTCATTTCCTCCTCTTGTACGGAACGCTCTAACCTGTTGTTCGCGGTGTCTTTGTACCTTGATTAACGCTGTGCCGAGAGACACCAAATTTGAAAGTACTTTTCCCAGTAACTACAAAAATGTCCGAGACTCTTCTTCATTTACTCGAGAAAATTCGAGAAACCTGCCATTTCTCATTTCTTCTTTGTGAATTTATTTATAGAAATTCTGGGAAATCTATTATTTCTGATATCTTCTTTGTAAATTCGTTTTTAGGAAAGAAGAATTCATTATTTTTCATTTATTCTTTGTAAACTTAATTGTATAAACTTATAGCGATCTATTATTTCTCGTCACTTTTTTCGTAGATTTGTTTACAAAGAAATAACGAGAAATAATGAATATCTTTAGTCCTTCTTGTCTTAATGTTTCTTGTTGTTAAGAAAATGACCCTTATTTTTTGCAAAAGGAGTTACAAAGAAGTGTGCGATAGAAAGTAATATATTTCCCTAATTCCTTGGAAAATAATTTACAAAGAAATCATGGGAAATGTCTCCAATTCCTTGTGAATGTAATAATACTTTACTTTTCCTAGACGTAATATTTAATAAAACCAAAGATGATGATTAGAAGTGAACTAGCTTTATTCCATCATATCTTTAGTACCATATATTGCATACAACAGACCATTGAGAGCACATTATCATATAACATAGAAAATGCCCAAGAGTTTTAATCCAGCAGTCAACGTGTTGTAGCAAATATTGTTAAAAACTGCAATTTAAAGTAGTGAGATAAAGTCCAATAAAAAAAGTTCATCTCCCAGTTGTAGCAGTTAACAAATATCATCAAGGGTCAAAAATGACCCAGCCTCTTCTTGCATCTGATCGAATCTCTCGCTGCCCAACGTCGAACCATTCGCTGTTAATAACAATTATAATTTTATGCGCGCGTTTCGTTTCAACACAAAGAAACCTTCCGCATCGATTTGGAGCTGCTCCATAAATAAATCCAATCAAGTCGAAGCGTGAATCAACGTGTTTCCCCCACGTTACAAAGAACTCTGGATCCTCGAGCATCGAGTCGCGCGTCCTATCTCCAAAGGACGCCAAGCCTTTCGTGTGGTCGCTTCGCGTGTTCCTTTGTCCCTGGGGCGGTTTTCATGGATTTATCTCCATGGCCTCGAATTAGTCGTGGGTCAATGACAACCGCGAAGGCGATAGTTAGCGGGGAATCATCGTCGCGGCGGTGTTCCGCGCTTTTAACTGTCAGAAGAAAAATATTTTCTGCGGACGTGAAAGGAAAACAAGAAACAAAGAGGGACACAGAGGGCGGCGCGTACGAAACCGGGGGAACGGGTCGAAGGAGTTGACGTTTCGTTACTGAAATAGCCTTAAACTACCACAAGTCAAAAATACTCGTGGCGTCCCGCTTGATGTCCAGGAGCGCAGGGACGAAGAGGAGAGGGCACAAGGCGGAGGGTCAGAGTAGCTAGAAAAACGATTTCGTGGCTTCTTCCAGTCTTCTAATTGATTCACGTTAGGACAGGTTTCACGAAACGCGATCGAAATTTAAGGAATCGATTTGGGTAGGATCGTGCGATGGTTTGACACTAATTGGATAGGGTTCGTTTGGTGTTGAAGCAGTGTTCTCTGTGATCGATGAAGATGTCTCGCGTTAGGTGATAAACGATAGCTTGGTCTTCTTCTTCTGTATTTCTTGAAAATTGTAGATTCGTTTGGAGGTGTATTAGATTGATACTCAGCAACTTTTTTTTCTTGGAAGGATCTTCATTTTCCTCTGTACAGATATCAGTTTTACCGTAGAAAATGTGTGTCTACTGTGTTTTTTTTTTTTTTTTTTTTTTTTTTATTGTAAGGTCGTCTCTAAGTTTCACATTCTAAGATAAAAAATTAATTTACGAGCGATTTTAAGAGGACGCAACCTTTTTACATTTTCGTAGAATGTTTTCTTAGCCTGTCCGCTCCAACGTGATTAATTGTAAAGAAAGGCTAACCTTCGGCTTCTGGGAAATCACATGAAACGTGAGAGCTAAATTCTCGTAATAGTCTTCTGGCGAAACAGCGCAAGCATCACGCCTGCTTGTCCA